TGCTGCGTCTTCGGCCTGTAGGTCTGAACTGGGCTGCTCTTCTCTACTCATCTCATTTTATTTTATTTTTAATTTTCAATTTGTATTTTTTTAACATAGAGTTCACTGATCAGGCAATTCAGTGCATTTAACATATGTAAAAGAGTTGTGCAATTATCACTACAATCGATTTCAGAGTACCGGTACTTTCGCTTACTCATTATTAGCTCCCCATTTCCCCCAACCCCCTCTGCCCTAACCCTAAGAAACCAGTAATTCAGTTGCTGTCTCTAGATTTCTCCAGAATCGTCTGGATTTCATATTCAAAAACAAAAAACGCCAACAATAAAACAGAAAAACCTCACATGAAAACAAAATTATAAAAACTAGAACAAAATGTAGATGAGTTAAAAGGGAGAACAGATGATAGAATTTTAACCTAACTACATCTACATTAGTCAGCTTTCCAATGCACAGATCAGATTACTGCTCGACTTCTTTCATCAGATATGCCCCAGATCGCATCTGTATCAGGAAGAAATGAGTGTCACTTTCCGTCATTTCAAGCACGGGATACTATGACTATTTTTAATATTTACTAATTTGGCTGACAAGCAATATCTAACTGGGTTTAATTTTCATTTCCCTTTCTGGACTCCTTTCTAAGTTTATTAACTGTTATATTTTAACTTTCTAAGAAATTCTACTCCATCCCCAACTCCATGCTCCAACACAGGCTTAACAGCATGTTTCCCTCGATGTTATTTCTATGCAAGGTTTTTCCCCATTGAGACACTGGAACACCTGAAGGACAGAAATTCCCTGGATGATTGTGTTACACCAGCCTCAAGCAGGATGACAGAAGTAAAAATATAAATGAATGCCTTCCCTTAACTGTGGCTGTTTACTTCACCATAACTTAAACTCTGTTATAAAAAAAACAAGTCTCGAAACTGCTACCAATAATTTCAAAAAAATAAAATAGGGAATACCTGCCTTCTCAGGCATCAAATTTTACTAAAATTTTTAATACATTTTTTTTTTAATTTTTACTAAAATGTTCCTTTAATAAAAGTTATATGGGTTGAACTAAAAAACCATGTCGGGTGATTCCTATCCATGGCAACTGCAGGTAGTGTGCAGCCTAGTGTGTACGATTTGATCTGTAGCCCTCACAGTGGCTGATTTTCCAAAGTAGACCACCGCAAGACCTTACTAGGCCCCTGTGGGTGGACTCTCAACTTTTTCCTTAGCGTCAGGCACAACAGTTTGCACCCCCACGGACTCTATGCATTGGACTCTTGGAGTTGGTACTGTTGGATTGATTCCAACTCACAGGGGCACATGTGACTTGAGTGGAACTGCCTCATAGGCTGTAGTTGTAGGCTGTAGTCTTTGTGGGAGCAGATCCCTAGGTCTTTCTCGAACATAGCCACTGGGTAGGTTCGAATTGATAACCTTTTGCTTAACAGATGAGCACTTAACTGTTGCACCACCAGTAGGCAATAGCAACAAATAACAAGTGGGGAAATTGGCAACATATAAGAAAGGATTTCAATTGAGTATCAAATAGATGGTGATGGCAAAAAGTATCTATTATGAGGTAGGAAAAGATCCCCTTCTTTATATCACATATGATAACGAAATTTAATTGACATTTAGAGGACATGAAGTTTAATGTGGGGGCAAAAGTATAAAGGAAAATAATATTCAAAATATTTAACAGTATAAACAGAGTCAAATTTAATAGACTAGAAAATAGTTTTTAAACAAGCCAAATAAGGAATTGGATACTCACTATAGAAAGAGCTCCCCGATCCCCTTGCAGAGGGGTCTGGGGGAGGAGACGAGCCAATCAGGGTGCGATGTAGCAATGATGAAAAATACAACTTCCCTCTAATTCCCAAATGTTTCCTTCCCGCTCCCACTACCATGAC